CATTTAGAGATTTTCATTGCTCAATTTGTGTTTAAATGTTTAATATTTAATAGATAATTGTAGCACTGACTGATTCTGTTCGAAATAAATGTTATTTTATAATTACTGGCCTATTTAATTTATAAAAATTCTATTAATTTTTCGTAATTCAATGGAGCCTTTTATCAGAACTAGCGCATTAAACTATATTTTATTTAAAAAGATACGGTATCAACTTTAAACACATATAGATAATCAGTTAATAAATATATTTATGATTAGAAAAAAACGCATATAGTATTTTATTGCAGTTTTATTTTTATAAACTATGGTACAAGAAAATAAAAATACGCCCAAAAACATTGAGTAATGACTGTGACATTATTAGAAATCATTTAATGTATAATAGGTTTTGTCAATTTTTTTAGTAGTTTTATAGTAGCTTATAGGATGAGATATTGTATGACTTACAATTTTTATCACATACGTTATAAAGCCATCAATATCTGCACATTTTGTATTTATTTAACGTAAGAATAATTTTAAAAATGTCATATGGTATATTAGGATTAATATTGAATTAGGATTATTTAACGTCAATCTGTATGATTTATTCAACTTATTTTGTGTTTTGTAGTTATGTATAGTTGATACACTGTCAATGAAATGATTATTAAAGACGTTAGCTATTTCAGTGGGATCAAACAAGATATTTCCATTATCGTTTATTTTTGATATAATATTATTAGGATAGTAGGGCTTAGCTTTTGTTTTTTTTTTATAATATTCCACGTCGCTTTAGATTTATTAGAGGATGATTTAATATTGTAACTACAGAAATCGTAATAATAAGACAATAGAAATGAATTAGCGCTCGATTACTTCTAAAACCGATGTCGCCACATCTTACCGTATTATAAACATACGCAATGCACAATGATATCTAATGTTTCACATTACATTGCTTGGCGAGTTTGTCAACGTCGCACGTGTCGCGTATTACGGTAGAACAAAAGCAGCAATGGTAATTGTACAACACGAAAAGTAATAAATGAGTTTGCAAAGGTAAATGTCATAGTAAAGTATTCATCTAGATGTAAATTAATTAAAAGAATGATAAATTAACCTACTGATGAAATCATCATCATCATCATCATCATCATTAAAGCCCTTCACAAGTCCACTGCTGAACCTGCCTGCCTCCCCCAATTAATGCCACAAAGCACGTTCCTGAGCCACCTGCATCCATAGACTTCCTGCATGTCTTACCAGGTCGTCACTCCATCTAGTGGGGGGTCGCCCTAAACTTCGCCTACCGGTACGAGGCTGCCACTCGAGAACCTTTTTTACCCAACGGTTTTCGGTTCTTCGAGCTATATGGCCAGCCCATTGCCACTTCAGCTTACTAATCCGTTGGGCTATGTCGGTCACTCTGGTTCTGCTGCGGAGATCCTCATTTCTAAGTCTATCACGCAGAGAAACTTCGAGCATAGCCCTCTCCATAGCTCACTGAGCGACTTTGAGCGTCCTTATACGGTCAGCGGTGAAGGACCACGTCTCGGTTCCGTAGGTCATCACTGGCAACACGCACTGGTTGTACAACTTAGTTTTCAGGTTTTGAGGTATACCTGACGAGAAGATGCGTCGTAGTTTCCTGAACGCTACCCAGCCGAGTTGAATCCGTCGATTGACCTCTCGGTCGAAGTTGGACTTACCTAGTTGGACTATTTGTCCCAGGTAAACGTACTCGTCAACAACTTCGAGCTTAGTGCTCCCAACAACTGCCGGCATAGGTGTGACATCTTAAGACCTATCCGTTGGGAGGCACTATTGAGGTCATTGAGCATAGTGCTTAGGTCCTCCAGCGATTCTGCCATAAGGACTATATCTTCGGCAAATCAAAGGTGAGTGATGTACTCGCCATTGATGTTAATACCGTATCCTTTCCAGTCCAGTAGCTTGAAAACGTCTTCCAATGCAGCGGTGAAGAGTTTCGGGGAAATAACGTCACCCTGTCTTATACCTCTCTGCAGTTGGATAGGTTTCGTACTCTGGTTCTGTACTCCTATAACCATCCTAGCCCTGCTGTACAAACTCTTCAGCACTTCGATATACCGACAGTCAACTTGGCACCGCTGAAGAGATTGTAGCACCGCCCAAATTTCGACGGAGTCAAAGGCTTTCTCATAGTCCACATACGCCAGGCAAAGCCGAAGGTTATGTATGTGGTCTATGGTACTAAAGCCTTTTCGGAAACCGGCTTGTTCGGAAGGCTGGAAGTCGTCGAGTATGCGTGCGAGACGATTCGTAATCACTGTCGAAAACAGCACGTAGACGCGGCTCAGAAGGGATATCGGTCTGTAATTCTTCAAGAGGGCGTTGTCACCTTTCTTGAAGAACAAGACTACCGCGCTTCTGCTCTACGCCTCCGGAGTAGTACCACCATGGAGAACGGAATTAAAGATTATACCCGTAATATAATATAATTTAAGATTATTACTGATGAAATGTTATGCCTATATTAGTTTTATTATACGTCCCTGATGAGTTTTTACAACTGATTATGATGCAGAGCACCATTATAAATTTATAATAACAAAAATTCACGTACGACGTTCCCCGCACAACTAAATCATGAAATATTGAATTATGTTCGTCAACCCATATAAGCGGCGACAAGGTCTTATTATTACGATTTCTGTGATAGAAACTATTGTGTGCTTTGCGTTTTAAATTAATAATAGTTTTGCATCTCTTAGCATAAGTTTGAAATATATGTTTATTTTTAATCGTGGAACTATTCTATAATTCCACAGTAACTCTATCTTCCGTTTGCTACACGTTTTAAGACCACTTGTTATCCATGTAGGCGTTTTAAGAGTGGACAGCTTAACTTTCATAACTGGAAAACACAAATCGTAGAAGAGTTTGAATAAATCGTGAAACTTATTGTAAGCATCAATAGTCATTTGCATTATATACTTCTTGGAACGATAGAGATTTTATGGAAGTTATAAACTTAGTTTTATTTTCTAAACAATAGTTTCTCTTTTTGTACACCAATACTTTATAGCATAGGTTATCTCAATAGAGACATTAAAGGATTTGAGCGGTATGGTCTGAAATATAAAACTCTACAACTGTTCCTTTACAATTATAGAAATTATGGATTATATTATCTATAGAAGTCAAGGATTCAAGTTTTGTTAGTTCGGCTTCGGCGATTCCCATTTTTTATTAAAACTCTCTATTATACTTTTAAAAATCACAGACTGTTTAGTTGTCAGGAGAATATCTATACTAAAGTCACCACATATAATAACTTTATTGTTTTTTATACAAACCTTTAACAGTATTCATGTAGATTGTTATAGAAAGCATTGTAAGAATTATCAGTGTTATGAGGAGGCCGATATATGAGATTATTTTTATCTTGTGATCAGAGAGGTCTATAGCAGAACATTCTATATCACTTTCGAGTGACATACGATGAATGTAAATAAGATTTATAAATTTAATATATTTTTTTACTAGTATGCAGGCTCCTCCACGACTGTTTTGTCTTTTTTAAAACTTGACGCTAATTTAAAATTAGGCATTCTCAAACTTTCAAAATATAACCTCAACTATTTGACCTTTATCTGGTAATTCATTTAAAGATATCATGAACATGTCAGATTCATTTACTAACCCAATAATGTTTTGATGCATTACACATTACACATTTGATGTGCATGCGTCTCGCTCGCGCTTGCAGCTTTCATTCACTAGCGATTGTAGCCTACGCCACGACGTTTAAAATAATAACACCTATTTTTAATCATACGCAATATATATATATATATATATATATATATATATATATCTACGCCCTACCGCCAGCCTCGCTACCGTCGAGGCGATCCGGCCAGTACTCAACGACTGGCTCGGGAGAAAGCACGGCTCCCTGTCGTTTAGGGTGATGCAGGTGCTGTCGGGGCACGGCTGCTTCGGCAAGTACCTGTGCCGCATAGACAGGGAGCTGGACGCTCGGTGCCACCATTGCGTCCATTGCGGGGAGGACACGGCACAACACATTAGTGTAGCTTGGGAGGAGCAGCGCCGTATCCCCACAAATGAAGTAGGAGGCGATCTGTCGCTGTCGGCCTTGGTGCGGAGGATAGTCGGTAGCGCAGAATCGTGGGACGCAGTGGTGTCCTTCTGTGAGGACGTGATGTCGCAGAAGGAAACTGCGGAACGGGAGAGAGAGATCTCGACTCCCTTTCCTGGCCGCAGAAGGCGCACCGGGCGCAGGAGAAGGGCGGACAACGCCCTTTTCCGGCCCCCATGAATGAGTCCAGGGTCGAGGGACTTGGGGAAGCCCCCGCCCCCCTATTCGATGGACCCGAGGCGGAGGCGCGCGCGGGTGTCGGCGCGCGCCTCTGAGGTGTGATACACGGGGTAGTTGAACACCTCACTACTCCGTGCAGGAGACGAGGCCCGTACAGACCGGGCCAGCATTGTGGGGCTGCGGAAGAATTTGGATTTCCGCGGCCCCTCGCGCGCACGTGCGAGGAGACACCGGGGTGGTTTTAGTCGGTAATTGTCTGGCACACCAATTGGATCCACATGAGGATTTCCCCCCCGTAAAAAAAGGTGAGGTTAGTGGTTATCGTTGTTGGGCAATTGTGGGGCTGTGGATATATTAGAACTATATTGTTACTGAAATATATTGTTCCCATGACCTTGTCCACATACGGCGATGATAGTACGTACGGGGGTTTGACCACTGCAGTTCAACTTAAAAATTTAAGGCGAGATGAGTCTTTCCTTAGAATTTTGAAAAGATAAATATAAAAAAAATATTATTAACATTTCTATGATCTAGTACTGTGAGTATAATTCATAAATTGCAATAAAAAAATTAAAATCTGTGCCGTAAAATAGTGTTTAATTTTATATTAAATTCAAATTGAATTGTGAATTTGGTTGCATGTAATATAGTGAATATTTTAAACTTTTGCACTTTCTCTTGCTGATTTCTAATTATTTGTATTTATATATCTTTCTTGCATCTGAGCAAATAAAGTGTAGAAGCTATATGTCCCCTTCATAATCTGAAACAAAATAAAACTATTTTATCATCCAAATAAAAAAATGTACATGTAATTGTGTACACACGTATTAAGTGAAACTTCCTTACGACATTTCATTCTTCTTTTATTTTAAAATTTACATATTATGTAAACACGAACATAAGTAAACCTGCGGTGAAACGTGAAGTTTTTGATTTTTAATTCTATCTTTTCTCTAATATGTCGACAAAAAAGTTTCACTTCAAAACTGTATCCGAAATATGTTATTAGAACAATTATACATGTTAAATACTGCTTAATCCAATTACTAATAAAGTCAGCAATAGTCTCACTTACGTCAATAAACGTTTGCAGAGATAGACGTGTGAATGGCCCGGCATTCACTACGAGCGGTCGAGCCAATTTCCCTGCTAATAGTAATATTTGTTTCCGTTCTTGCAAATTTGCTTTCCACCAATTGCTTTCATATACGCCACGGACTGTTCTATCACTCTGTAATGTGTAAATTTCCATTACAACAGTACAACCTTAAGCTTTTGATTTTCCTTTCGTTTTCATTTAAAAAACCTTAATATAAAATAATAACTTGTCCATCCGAATATTTCCTTAGTTCTTTTTTTTTATAAAATAGGGGTAATAAACGGGCACTCAGACCTATCCCACCTATCCTCAATTTACAATCAAAAGTAGTATACTCGTGTTCTCATATATTTATAATAATAAAGCCATTCCAGAAAGTGTTTACCTCTACAGTGATCTCATTACTATGCCAACAAAATAGAAGTAGTTGTGTAGCCAGAGCCAAGGAGTATTCAAGAACCCAAAGTTTCTGAGTTGTTGATACATTTTCCTGTAAAAATTTTAAATTACATTATTAATTTTGGAATATTAATTTATAGACATATTATATATTACAATAACGGTGACAAAATAGAGCACATAGCCCATTTGATAAGTGGCTACTGTTACTCATGGTCATTTACATATATCCTCGTTTAAGAATTAAAATACAGTGTTGAACGCTGTGGGGCTAAGACCTAAGATTGATTGCCTCATCATTAGTATCTAACCTTTCAGTTCTGATTTTATATTAGCAAAAATTAATAAAGTGCTGGAATTAAGAATTAGTATAGTTAAGTACGTACGTAAAAATAAGTTTACTTTTTATTGGCGACGGTAAAAAGTTGATTCAATGACAACAATCGTATCTCAAAAAGCGGCAAAATTAAAAATTTTGTACGCCCAACTTTAATATAAATGAAACGAAAACATCATCAGTGTAGTTGAAGTCAGTTAAATACGCATTATTAAGGATAACTTAGAAACTACTCGTCAGATCTTGATCAAATTTATATATGACCACATAAAAAGCACCAGATCTCAAACAAAAAATAATCATCAAAATCGGTTCTTCAAGAAAAAAGTTCTGAGGAAACGCACATAGAAAATACAGTCAAATTGAGAACCTCCTCTATTTTTTAAAGTCAGTAGAAAATCGTTTCATCATTGGTTTGGTTAACTGATTATAACTATTGAATCTACATAATGTATATTAAAAGATATCCCATATTAAAAGATGACACTGAAATATGAGATGGACTGCAGCATTGTTCTGATATCACGTGAGGGAGGCCTATGTTTAGCAATGGACTTTTCATAGGCTGTATAACCTGATTGTAAGTGCGGTTACTGTAGCCCACGAACAAACACAGCTACAAAGATACAGATGCGTTGTCACACTGAGGACCTAGATGAAATGTCTCACAGCTATTAATGATACTAGCTACTCTATAAATACCCTTCAGCATGAAATCCGCTGCATGCACTGTTATTTGGTAGTAGAAACGGTGAGAGGGTGATGCCCATCCAGACGAACTTTTAGCTAGAAAAGTAGTCCCACCGTCTAGTAAGTTTAAGCAAAATGTTGAGATAAGTCGTATAACGTAAATATTTAAAAATATGTTTAAACTTATTAGAACTAAAACTATATTGTTATACACATCCACGCATCTGTAAAATTTCTTACACGTTTAATTTCGGTCAGTTCGATTTATAAAATCCATCATCCACAGCCTCGGTAGTATTCATGTGTGGAGCTAAAAGTCTAGTCGGGCCGTATCGAGTTACCGTCACATAGGAATATGATATTGAGGGAATTTAAAGCGGCTGTACTTGCGCATACACACGTACACTATAATACTGTCCAGCGTAGATGAGCTAGTACCGTGACCCCGTGACTGGAATTCGGTTTGGGGAACATTATCGTAATAATAAAAAAGTATTATATGAGAACAGTGTTTTAGACAATAGCGAGTTATTAACGAATAATATATCTATCGAGGTATCGGATAACTCTCAGGATTCATAGTATTCTTATATAAAGGGAATGGAGTAATTGTAAAATTTAAGCTAAGCGGCGAACATGCTTCAGTTATGTCGCTAAAAATCTGGCTATGATGTAAAAAAATGTAATATTGTTTTGCAATAAATAAGTTAGAAAAGGTGATCTGTTGTTGGTTATTTTTATGATTTACTTCAATATAATAAATACAAAATTTATTAAAAATTTTATTTACTAAATGTCAAATGTATTCTTACCATACTAAGTTGTACTACGCTGCAACAGATCGTGATAGAACAAACAAGTACATATATGAACATAACAGACGAGATAATTTTGTCGAATGCTGAGTATTGTCTGCAAAAACAAAATAATTGAATGTTTATTTGTTACTACTTGTATTTAAAACTATATTATAGAGAAAAGTGGATACAAAGAAAGTGAAAAATATTATGATATTTTTTCTTTTTTTCTTAAGGACGCGTTTACAAAATTGATAGGTATAGAATCGCACTACTACATTGACAAAAGTCACACACACAAGTGTACGCACGGTTGGCTGTGGGAATCGTAGTCAAATGAAATTATTTTGATAATTTGCAAGATTGAATTTGTTTTTCATTTCTTATACCTCAGAAATATACTTGAACACGAATACCTGCTCCAGAGACTGCTTGGCACTGGAAGCCCTCTATTGGTAGTGAGATGTTAGCTCTGGACTTTGAACTGGTTTTGTCAGTTATAATAAGACCTTACCTACCTGCGGACTTGATGGAGTGACCTGAAGGTGTAATTCGGTGATTACAACAGGAACTCCTAGACTAGTAGAACTAGGTGTGCCGAGTTTGGGTTCGTTTTGTAGGTTATGATGAGACCTTACCACCAGACTTGATGGAGTGACCTGAAGGGGTAATTCAATAACTACTGCTGGAATTTCTGAACGAGTAGAGCTAGGTATGCCGAATTTGGGCTCCGTTTTGTTAGTTATGACGAGTCCATACCTCCGGACTTGTTGGAGTGACCTGAAGGTGTAATTCGGTGATTACAACAGGAACTCCTAGACTAGTAGAACTAGGTGTGCCGAGTTTGGGTTCGTTTTGTAGGTTATGATGAGACCTTACCACCAGACTTAATGGAGTGACCTGAAGGGATAATTCAGTAACTACTGCTGGAATTTCTGAACGAGTAGAGCTAGGTGTGCCGAATTTGGGCTCCATTTTGTTAGTTATGACGAGTTCATACCTCCGGACTTGTTGGAGTGACCTGAAGGTGTAATTCGGTGATTGCAACTGGAACTCCTAGACTGGTAGAACTAGGTGTTCCGAGTTTGGGTTCGTTTTGTTAGTAACGATGAGACCTTACCACCGGACTTGATGGAGTGACCTTAAGGTGTAATTCAGTGATTACAACTGGAACTCCTAGACTAGTACAACTAGGTGTGCCGAGTTTGGGTCCGTTTTGTTAGTAACGATGAGACCTTACCACCGGACTTGATGGAGTTACCTGAAGGTGTAATTCAGTGATTACAACTGAAACTTCTAGACCAGTAGAACTAGGTGTGCTGAGTTTGGGTTCGTTTTGTTAGTTATGATAAAACCTTACCACCGGACTTGATGGAGTGTCCTGAATATGTATTCCGGTAACTACTGCTGCAATTCCTGCACGAGTAGAACAAGGTGTGCCTAATTTGGGCACCGCTTTGTTGGTTATGACGAGTCCTTACCTCCGGACTTGATGGAGTGACCTGAAGGTTTAATTGGGTGATTACTACTGGAACTACTAGACTAGTAAAACTAGGTGTGCGAAGTTTAGGTTCGTTTTGGTAGTTATGATGAGACCTTACCACCGGACTTGATGGAGTGACCCAAAGGTATAATTCGGTGATAACAACAGTACTAGGTGTGCCGAGTTTGGGTTCGTTTTGTTAGTTATGATAAGACATTAACACCGGTCTCATCTCAACTATCAAAACGAACCCAAACTAGACACACCTTGTTCTACTAGATTAGGAGTTCCATTAGTAATCACCCAATTAAACCTTCAGGTCACTCCATCAAGACCGGAGGTAAGGACTCGTCATAACTAACAAAACGGAGGCCAAATTCGGCACACCCAGTTCTACTCGTGCAGGATTTCCAGCAGTAGTTACCGAAATACACCTTCAGGTCACTCCATCAAGTCCGGTGGTAAGGTCTTATCGTAACTAACAAAACGAACCCAAACTCGAGACACCTAGTTCCACTAGTTCAGGAGTTCCAGTTTAATTACTGAATTACACCTTCAGGTCACCCCATTAAGTCCGGTGGTAAGGTTGCATCATAATCAACAAAACGAACCCGAACTCGTCACACCTAGTTCGACTAGTCTAGGAGTTCCAGTTGTAATCACTGAATTACACCTTCAGGTCACTCAATCAAGTCCGGTGGTAAGGTCTCATCGTAACTAACAAAACGAACCCAAACTCGGCACACCTAGTTCCACTAGTCTAGGAGTTCCAGTTTAATCACTGAATTACAACTTCAGGTCACTCAATCAAGTCCGGTGGTAAGGTCTCATCATAAATAACAAAATAAGCCCAAACTCGCCACACCGAGTTTTACTCTGCAAGAAGTTCAAATAGCGGTCACGAAAGTACACCTTCAGGTCACACCATCAAGTCCGGAGGTAAGGTCTCATCATAACCAACAAAACGAGCCCAAACTCGGCACACCTAGTTCCGCTCGTCCAGGAGTTCAGTAGTAGTTACCTTCAGGTCACTCTATCAAGTCCAGAGGTAAGTTTATATATCCTACTTATTTTTAGGTAAATAAAAAACTGTCAAGTACTTATGTTTCCAATTTGTTTTTTCTAATATTTTGTGTATGTACAGCAGCTACTTACACTACATTCCAATAAAACACAATAGGTACATATAACCTGTGATGTAACTTTTCCTTTATACTTTTATCCTGGCTTAGGACAAGCAAATATTGAGGAATAAAGGAAAAATTGAGATTTTACTAAAAAAAAATGTTGTTATTTTTCATTTAATTTACGTTCTATAAGTGAAACCAAACCACCGGTTTATATATATATATATATATATATATATATATATATATATATATATATATATATATATATATATATTTAATTGGGTGGCGGGCCTAAGGGTTCCTGAGTTCGAGATACTATGCGAGATGTTATACTAAGTGGACTGTATACGCAATGGCTTCTTATGCCTCAACAAGATGGCGGATATGACACGCGGCACCTTAGACAATGCACTCGCTCTTCCAAATCTATTGCTTGCCAAGGTTAGGAGGGGATTCTACTTGAGCACATTAGGAGAAATAAAATGGGGCGGGTTAACTAATAAACAAAATGCTCAAGTCGGAGCATTATTACGGGAAAACACTTACCGGGTTGTGATTCTGGTGATGGCGGACGACGCTTCCGCTGCGGTGATGCGATGTGAGGTGAGTTCTTCTGGGGCGCCCCAAAGATGCGATCCAGGCCAGTGGTGGGAAGGAAGAGAGCGGTGCGCGACGATATCTCACACTATGTGCGGCGGTTACTTCTGGAGCGCGACTGCTCCAGGTGATGCGGTTCAGACTAGCGACGCGTGGCAAGAGGACGCTCGAAGGCAGCGCTCGAGCCTTTATTGTCTCGGCTTTTCCCACCAAGCGCCTCGGTCGGGCGCGCTTCTCATTGGTCGAAAGAATCGCGTCACCTTCTAGACTCCTCCCATTTCCCGTTTCAGTGTTTACGGAAGGGATATTAGGTCAAAGGATGGGTAAGCGCTTGGTAATATACCCTCGAATAAAATTAAAATACACGAATCGTTTCCGAGTAACCATCCCCCCCCCGGCTTGAAGGGTCCCCTTCAAAATAACTAACGCTAAGATTAAACCTAATTTTCGACTACAATTTCTAATCTAGAAAGTTAATTCAGACTATTTAATAGGCAAAGGGCACAAACGGACAACAAGGCGCATGTAAGACCCAGTCGTGGTCCTAACGCGAGCTACCCTAGTTACCCCGTCGGAACCGGGAAAAACTTCTTCGACGATTCCTAATGGCCAATGGAGAGGCGGCGTATTCTCCTTTGTGAGTACAACCACAGTTCCGACAGTTAAAGGTTCAGTTGTTGTGTTCCATTTTTGCCGAGACTGCAACGTATGCAAGTATTCCATCTTCCATCGTTTCTGCACCAGCAGTCGTGTGGAAACGATGGAAGATGGAATACCGGTTGGTACCGGTCCAATAATTTATGGCGTGCAGACATACTAAGTTTGTTCTCGTCCATGTCTATGGCGGGCAGATATTTTAAAGGCGTTAAATTCAAAAAGTTAAAGTTAAAGTCACTTGACAATGTACGACAAAGGGGGCGACTATTCATGACGCACTCAATTTGAGCGAGCACAGTACTTAACTCTTCGAAAGACAAAATTTGATCTCCTATTACTCGGTATAAATGACTCTTTAGACTCTTAATATTAGTCTCCCAGTTTCCCCCAAAATGGCTCGCGGCCGGGACGTTCAGAGACCACTCGATGCGGTTCTCGGCTAGGATGTGAGCGAACTCCGAATTATAATATTTACTGGTTAAAAGCTCATGTAGTTCTGATAAAATACGTTTCGCGCCGACGTAGTTTGTACCGTTATCCGAATAAAATTTACTTACAGGGCCACTGCGGGAAAGAAATCTTTTAAATGCACCCATGAAGCCCGCTGTGCTTAGATCACCAACAAGTTCTATATGCACAGCCTGAGTAGTCAGACATACGAAAATGCTAACGTAAGCTTTTGTGGATCTTATACCACGCCCGCGAGTGAGCGTGACCTTAAACGGACCAGCAAAGTCAGACCCGGTGTGCATAAAAGGCTTTACGGATTGTGTTACTCGACAAGACCTAAGGTCCGCCATTTCTGGAAATGACGGCTTAGGACGTACTCGAAAGCAAGCCATACATCTGTGCACCCGATTACCGATTAAATTACGTGCTGTAAGAATCCAATAATTCTGACGCAAGATTGACATCAGCAAGTCGGGGCCAGCGTGAGGATTCAATTTATGGTGGTGATCTACTAATAAATTCATGATATGGTCCTTACGCGGTAAAACTATAGGGTGCCGTTGGTCGAAACTCAACTGCGAGTTAGACAAGCGCCCACCTACCCTGACGATTCCATCTTGTAAAAATGACTTAAGACGTTGAAACGCGCGATTACAAGTTCTATTCGATTGTAATCTTGTAATTTCATCGGAAAAATGCGCACGTTGAAGTTCACGCAATACTAGTAATTCGGCACAACTACATTCGGACGTAACGATATA